GAGACAAAAAGATCATAGGGAAGAAGACCCATCTTTGCCTTTGGCTCCCTTAATGCCAATCTGCTGCTTCTAGGGCCAAACCTCCTCCTTTCTCAATGAACCTGGACAATTAACGAGGTCAAACTTTTAAGGCACATTCTCATTAGCTCTAAAATTCTATGACTTTAAGACACATTATTAATATTAATATAACAACTGATCAATTATACTTTCTTAAAAGACTGTGAGTATATTGAGAAGCAGCATAGTATACTGGATAGAGAACTGGCCTCTAAGACAGAAAGGTATGAGTTCAAGTCCCTCCTCTAATTTATATTCACCATGTGACCCTGGGCAAGTTATATACTCTATCAAGGTTCCAAGACATCTCGTTAAGACTACAGATTGCAAAAAGGTACCAACTTAAATTAGTAAGGTATGTTCCTCAAAGAGCTCTCCCTATACCAAAGAAGTCACAAGTCTAATCTCCAGCTCCATTTTTTTAAAAAAATCATTCTTTATTCAATTCTACGCAAAATTCTATGCAAAAACAAAAGTTTTTAACCAGACTTTTGCACTTGCTTTCTTTAAAGCTGCTAATTTCCTTCTTGTTCCATATCATCTTGCTCCATACTTTCTAACTTATTTATGTCTGGTGCAAGTTTTGTTGTTGCCACTCAGTCGTTTCAGTCATGCCTGATGCTCCACAACCCCATTTGGGGTTTTCTTGGCAAAGATACTGGACTGGTTTGCCATTTCCATCTTCAACACATTCTTTCTTTCTTTTTTTCTTTTGTGAGGCAATTGGGGTTAAGTGACTTGCCAGGGTCACACAGCTGATAAGTGTCAAGTGTCTGAGGCCAGATTTGAACTCAAGGAGCTTGGCCTTCCTGACTTCAGGGCTATCTCTGCTCTATTTGCTACACCAAATTTCCATTTACCTAATTATGTCCTGACAATAACCGAGAACCTAGTTCCCCAGCAAATGCACCACTTATTATCTATTCCTATGTCCTACACAGTGGGGAGAGCACTGGCTACAGAGTCAAATGACCTGCATTCAAAATCTTACTTCTTTTTGGGGGGAGTTAAGTGACTTGCTCAGGGTCACACAGTGTCAAGTATTTGGTCTGAGGTCGCATTTGAACTCAGTCCTCCTGACTTCAGGGCTGGTGCTCTATCCACTGCACCACCTAGCTGCTCCCTTTTTTTTTTGTCAAGGCAATAAGGTTAAGCGACTTGCCCAGGGTCACACAGCTAGTAAGTGTAATGTGTCTGAGGCCAAATTTGAACTCAGGTTTTCCTGACTCCAGGGCTGGTGCTCTATCCACTGCACCACCAAGCTGCCCCTTCTCCAAAATCCTACTTCTGACATCACATCCATACTTTGTGACCTGGGCAAGTCACATAAGCTTCCAGGGCCTCATTCTTCTCATTTGTAAGATAAGAAGGTTGGCCTAAATGTCCTCTGAAGTCTCTTCTAAGGCCAGGTCTATGATTCTATAAACCTCACCCTGCCTTGACCATCTTGTTTTTCTCTGTCCAACCACTGACATAAATAATCATTGGTGAGTTCACTCTACTAACACCCTGACCTATTGAGTCACCAAGCTCTTCAAACTTCCACACCTCTACCCTCATCATCATCATCATCATCATCATCATCATCATCATCATCATCATCATCATCCAGTGATTTATGGTTTGCAAAGTATTTTTTACAAATGTCTCATTTTATCCACACAACAACCCTGGGAGGTACTTTATCATCCCACTTTGGCACACAAGAGGTTAAATGACCTGTCTAGAGTCATACAGGGAAACGTCTGAGACTGAATTTGAACTCAGGGCTTTCTGACTTGAGACCCAGTACCCTATCCACTCTGCCACCTAGCTACTGCTATCTAGGATAGCCAAAGAGGGGGTCACATAGACCACATGATCACCCCAAACCGCTTCACTTCTACAGTTTTGAACTATAAGTTTCTCTTATTTAATCACAATTCTGTCATTCCACTGCCTCAACTCTTCCTGAACTTGCTTTTGCCACTCATGACAGTTTTACTTTCCCATCCTGTTCTTCTAGTCCACCACCTCTATTCTGATTTCACTTCCCTCACAGCCTCAACTCAGGTCAACCATTTCAAACAAGAACTGCTACCTAGGAATGAACATCTTCCCTTTTACCAATTCAATTCCATTGTTCCTGCCCCTGTAATACACAGACCTGGGTCGCTACCTCACCTATGCTCCCCAGCTACTGAAAACTGCAAAGAAATGAAACCGTACTGACTGGATATCCTACAAATGTTACGCTATCGAAGCTTAATCAGGCCTTCCCAGATACACTGTATCTTTTATTTGTAATTTTTATTTGACCGATTCTGTCAGACTCCCATAATGACCCATCTAAACATTCTCTCTCCTCAAGCCCTCAACTCTTAATACCTCCTCTCTTAACAGATGACTACCTTCTACAGAGGACATCAAAAGCATCCGAGAGCCACTTTTTCTACACCTTGAAACCTTTCTATGATGAACTGAGTCAAATTCATAAAAAATACAAGTCATGCTCCCAATGCTCTAAGTCATTACTGATCAGAAAAATGCAAATTAAGACAACTCTGAGGTACCACCTATCAGATAGCTACTTATCAGAGTGGCTAATATGACAGAAAAGGAAAATGTTGGAAGTTGGAGGGGTTGTGGGGAAATTGGGATACTAATGCACTATTGGTGGAGATGTAAATTGATCCAACCATTCTGGAGGGCAATTTGGAACTATGCCCACAGGGCTATAAAACTGTGCACACCCTTTGATCCAGCAAAACCATTGCTAGCTCTATAATCCCAAAGGCATCCAAAAAGGGAAAAGGACCTATTTGTACCAAAATATTTAGAGCAGCTCTTTTTATGGTGGCTAAGAAATGGAAATCAAAGGGATGTCCACCAAATTGGGAAGAGCTAATGAAGCCATGGTATATGACTTTAATGGGATATTATTGTACTTTAAGAAATGACAAGCAGGATGATTTCAGAAAAATCTGGAAAGACTTACATGAACTGATGCATTGGAAAGGGAACAGAACCAGGAAAATGTTGTACACAGTAACAGCAATATTGTTTGATGAAGAACTGTGAATGACTTAGCTTTCTCAGAAGCACAATGATCTAAGACAATCCCAAAGGACTCATGATGAAGCACACTATCTGCCTCCAGAGAAAGAACTCATATTTACTGAATACAGACTGAAGCATGCTATTTTTCCATTTTCTTTCTTTTTCTTCTTTTATTCAAGTCTTTTTTGTACAAAATGAGTAATATGGAAATCTCTTACATAAACTGCACAGGTATAACCTATACTATTTGACTGCTTACCATCTCAGGGACAAGGGAGGGGAAAAAGTGGGTGAGGGAAAAAAATTTGGAACTCAAAACTTTAAATAAAAATTTTAAAAATTAAAAAAAAAACACCTTTCTATGGATTCATCTATCATCTCCTTTCTTTCAGTCTCAGAGGATCAAGTGGTCCTTTTCTTGGCAGGAGTAACTTACCAGATACATCCTTTGATACTATCCTTCTTCAAGCCCCTACACTATCAATTAATCCTCTCATATCTTCACAGTCTCTATTTCAATCCCTCTGACTTGTAAACATGATGGGTCTCATCAACATGACAAAAAACCTTTCCTAGACCTTACTGCGTGGCTGAAGCTTTCTCCTCCTGCCTCACTGATAAATATTTAGAAAATGTAGTCAACATTGCTTCCATTTAATCATAAGCTCACTTACTCCTTAATTTCCTCTAAAGTTGGTTTGTCTTTACCCTTCTAATAAAGCTGCTCTCTCCAAAGTTAGTAATTATGTCTTAATTAGCAGATCCAATGGCTTTTTATCAATTCTTATCCTCCTTGATTTTTGATCTGCTTACCCCATCTTTTTGATATCTTCTTTTTTTCTCCTCATCTTTAACCTACTTCTCTCCAGACTCTCCCTGTCTAACCCACTCTCTTTTTCTTCACTGGTTCATCCTCCTCTCACATGCATACCCAGTTCAAGTGTAGTTGTCCCTGAAAGCTCTGTTCTCAGAATCTTCTTTATGTATGCTCTCTCTTTTAATGGTGTCATCCACTACCTTGTCTTTGATTATCACTTTTTATGTAGTTAACATATTCAGAGTTCCAATGGAAAATGCTAGAAACATTCTGCTTTCCTGCCCCCAAAAGCTCCAAAGGAGAGGGAGAGGGTGCCATTAAACCTTACCTTAATCTGAACATCAAGCTTTTAAACTGGGGAAGAACCTAAAAGGATGGGAGGAAATGTTACAGTTGGAGCTATAGCATACTTATGACACCAACTTATAAGTCAGAAACTGCCTATCACAGAAAACAATTCAACTACCTAACAAAGCTAGTAAAATATTTTTTGTACTGATAAAACTATAGCATTAAACTGTGTAACTTATTAAAACTTAACTGTTTAATAGCATCTAGGAATATATGACCATTAAAAAAAAAACTGAGTCTACCTTGCCAATTAACATTTTCCAATTCAGACATTTTATTTGGGCCCACTTCAACATACACCACATTGATTTCTATTGCAAACATTTATTTTAAAAAGAGAAAAAAGGCTCCCTGATTATCTTATGAGAAACAGCTATTTTCTTAAGGCTGCTAGAGAATCAATTGCTTAGTAAATCACCATTTTCAATGGTCAAATACTATACTGGTGAAACAGAGAAACATTTGCACACTGAGGCAGTCCAGTATTTCACATCCTGGCTTCATAGATACTTGAGAGATCTAGGAAGCATTACTAATTTTTAGTACATCCCAAATGTTTGCTACAGCAGACTCAATTGTGATACTGGGGCTTTGTTTTATGTAGTAGTAAAATAGTATTGTAAATAAAAATATCAATCCACATTAAAGTAAGATGGCAAGAGTAAACCTTAAAGAAGAAACCTTCTTCAAAGAGCATTTATACATGTTTCCAACATTTTTCTTCTTTTATTAGGTCCAGATTCTATATGCAAAAAGAAGATCAAATATCCAAAGACCAACATCTGTATAGATATTTTAAAATCTGAACAAACAGAAAACTACAGACAACTACTCTTTGCCTTCCTGGTATCATGGAGAAAGTCCAGTATCTCACCCGCTCTGCCATAAGAAGAGCTTCAACTATTGAAATGCCCCAACAAGCACGTCAAAATCTCCAGGAACTCTTTATAAATTTTTGTCTCATATTAATATGTCTCTTGCTTATATGCATTATTGTGATGCTTCTCTGAAGTTCTGATACTACTTCTGATTCCGCTGTTCATCAGCGTGGATCTAAAACCTGTCATGCAACAAGGAAAAGAAACTGAAACTGTAGAAGCAACCATTTTCTGGGCGCAAGAATATATCCATGAAAAGAATGTAAACGACAATCAGCTGATATATTCTCCTGCTGGATCCTTCAAACTTGGAAAATGTTTCTTTAAAAAAGTTATTTTCAAAAGCAATAGTCTAATTATGTGTGATGTAATGCTATTTGCTTATTAGGCACTGCTTATAAAAGGCTATGTTTTCTAATTCACACTATTAGTCAAATCCACTCTATATTCAAACCAAGTATTTCACTGTTTGGGGGTCTGTGTAATTTACATTTTATTGTTATACTCAGATATTAGATTTTTCAGTGCTTTAAAGACAATTACAAAAATAGCAATTCAAAAAAATGTTTCACCATTCAAATCTGGAGAGCTTCTTACAATCACTTCAACTTTAGAGTATTCATAAAATTGCAGGTATACTTTCATTTTTGTTATTGCTTAGAATCACAATCTACCAAACTAAAAGAAAAAAATTTTAATGAAATGTTAAAATAGAAAACTAGATTTTATTCTACACTGCTCTTCACCCCTATTTAAAGAAAGGGTACAAGAACAAAGAAAGACTGTAAAGTCCTAAATTTACCTTTTAGTAAAAAGTTTTCTATTACTTGCAGCTCCAATTAATTCAATATAACTACATATTGAATATACAAATGAGTAATTCAGATTTTTAGGTCAGTCAAATCTATTCTTCTTCCTAGGGTGTTATGTTCTGGTAGATAACGGAGAACAAGTCAATCAACACACTAGACAGAGTGATTAGCTGGAGATGTTCCCAAGACATTTTACTTCAAGGTATTTCTGCCAAAGCGTACAACTGAGACACAGGTTCACTGAGTACCATATATATCACATGGAAAAAAAAAAGATGTCATGTGTATCAGGATAAATTATCCCAGATTTTGAAAAATGAAAGGTAGCTATTTTATGCCATATATACTTATTACGCTAAACTTCTATAGACTATTAACATTCACCCCATATACTTCTTAAGGTGGGATATATTATCAGTAGTTCATAACTAAGAGACGTTTATTAAGCTCCTCTTTGACCTCAACTGAATTCAGCATCTACACTGACATTAAGATCAGAGGTGGACATGGTAGAGTACTTTTTAATTTGTTCTTTTGCTTAAAGGGTTTTTTTTAATCTTTAAGAAAATTAAGTTTTCTTTAAACCATGACAAATGGTCATTAAATTCTATGCCTTACGCATTAATATTTTAAAAAAATTTAAACCGGGATTTTATATTTATTAGTGCAAACAATTTTTTAAAATTTTTGTACCTTTGAGGCATATTCATAAACCAGCTGTTTTTGTGGTTTTAAAACAGGTCAACTTCTAAATAATTAATTCCTATCCAAAATACATGATAGCCTTATTATAGGTGCAGAGCTCCTACAAAAAGTTTTGACAATATTTTTCCTGTGGGAAAACTGCTTCAAGAATCATAAAATGCAACGGAAATAGGAGATTCTGGGATTACAGCAAGCATAGGAAAGACTGTGTCAGGAAAGCAGTGAACCAGAAAGTAGGCATGTAGTGACATCTGCTGGTATAGTAAAATACTGGACATGGAGTCAGAAGACCTGAGTTCAAGTCTCCTTTCAACTAACTTGCTCATTAGCTATGTGACCTCAGAATGAAGACATTAACTATTTTGACTTATCTCGGAAAATATAAGTAATGGTTCAGTGCTGATTAAGGGTTATGAACAGGCTAAACTGATCTTGTAAACCAAGTGTAAACCCTGAAATGTTAAGCTGTTTTCCTTCCAGTTGATTTGTTCACTGTGCTGATATTAAGTTTATTTTTTTTTAATATTTGAGAAGAATTCACCATAGTTTCTCCTAAGGAAAAGCTGTTTTATTTCCTCTCATGAATATAAAATGAACCTATACTGTCAAAAACCATAGAATATTATTACTTCTACACAGAAACTAATTCCTTCAAATCAAACTCTTAAGATCTTATACAGTGATTCAATGATAAACTACGTAAGGGAAAATAAGAAAGCTGTTGCATTAAAAATGATCAGATAGCAGATGTATAATACAATATGATTCAAGAAGAGAAAATTCTAACATTACAGTCTGATTAAAATTTTTAGAGAATTAGCTAATTTAAAAGACTATTTTGTATTATCATTTATATTGTGGTTGGTTAAAAAACTATCTGATAGCTAAATATGATGTTTAATACAGTCACAATCACCTATTTAAAAAAGAATGTTTTTGCATTTAATTACATTGTTTCTATAATGTGCTCATTTTAACATAACAATAAAACAATCTAAAATACTGAAGGTAGATTTGGCTTTGGAAGGTTGTTTTAAATACTGTATAGGAGCAGCAATGATTAGAGTCAAGATTACAACCTATGCTCACAAGAGGGCAGACTTCTATAAAATACAGGATGTTTTCCCCTAATAACCATACCTGAACATGCTACTAAATAAATACTCATTAATGTAAACTAAGAGTATGCTTTCCATTGCCAAAATACTGTACGTTCACCTGCATAAAAATTAGGTGCCAAACCCATACATACTTGATAAATTAAACAAGATATAAAAACCTGAAATGAATGGGATAAAGAGGATGGTCTGGAATGAGCCAGGGAGAAAACCACAAACAAAAAAAATCTGCCACCTTCAGTGGCAATAGGAAAATCAATTAAAATCTGCATTATTTGCAAGAATCACCTATACATTCATGCACAAAATGTCTTTGTTTGCATTCTTAGTTTTAGTGGATTCGAAAATAAAATATGCCAACATAAAATAATTATCTAGATGAGATATTTTCACAGTGAGCCCCTATCAGCACTCAAATTAGGTCTAACCTTACCTTAAAAAAAAAAACTCATTTATTCTTCCTAACAAAGCAGCTACTGTCTATAGCACAGGAAAATTCTAGGAGGAAAAAAACGTAAGTAGGCATGCAGCCTTAGCATAAAAAATTTTTTTTACTCTTGTCCCTTTCACAGGGACAAAAGATTATAGTCATGATTATATTTTTCCGCTCCTAAAGGAACTCTTTGATCTTAGAGAAATACGATGGACAAAATGGATGGGGGGAGGGGTAATCGGGGGGAACCAATGCTAGGGGATAAAAAAGGTCCCTTTCCCTTAGAGAGGCAGGAGTTTAAGGAACAGGATTAACTAGCATATAAGACAGATTCTAGGAAGAACAACAGGCTAATAGTTGGTAAAGCCTTTGTTAAAAATACCTTATTAAATGAACACCAATCAATCTCCTTTCAGGGTGAAGGTGAAAGTAAGAGTGGGAACTGTAATGGGCTTAAGAAAGTTTGTTGTCACCCAATGCATACTCTAAATATCCATGTAATGAGCTAATTATGAACACAGCAACTGCCTGGTCCCTCTTTGGAATCACAGTTGTTAAGGGTGACCAAAACTTGAAACTTGAAAGGAAATACCGACTGTAAACATTACTTTTTGGTCATCTGCAAATCCCCTATTTCTCTCTATCAATCTATTTTTGACAAGGTACCTTTTCATTCTATTCTGACAGAAAAGTTGAATGTTAGTAAATCTAGAGTGCCTAACTTGGCCACTGATCAATGTTAAATGTAAGTGATCATCTCAAGATAAAGATGCTGCTGCTAATGGTGGCAGATTAGAATCGAAAAGCAAGTTAAATCTTAAATTTTAAGGTTTTTTGTTGTTGGTTTTTTTACTACCACTCTCTCTCTATCCTAAGCCATGTTCAAGCCTATTATAAAACTGGTTTGGAGTACTAAAAAGCTGCTAAGAGTGGTACTTATCAAAGCATTCCCTAACCTTTTCCTAGACACCCTAGAAACAAAAAGTCAGGTGGACATTTCATTATCAAACTCCAGATCTACAATCCTGATTGTAAGAAAAGTACCAACAATGCCTTTGTGGAATGCACAGTTGTCAGGATCACTTGACTCTATCTTTTTGGGTGAAAAGTAAAATATTCATGAATCAACTACTTAACAAGGCAGATATTTTAAAAGACAACAAGAGGAATATAAGATTAAACAGAATAGCATCCAAATCATTGTAAAAGGTCAGAGCTTAAAATGACAACTGAAAAAAAATTAAAGATCTTATCAAAAACTGTAACTGAAACTGTATGAAATTTTTATTTTAAAAAATTAATGTCAAGATAATTTTAAATGTTCTTTAGCTTAACGGAGAATATAAATTTTACCCTTTACTGGCAGCAGACGATGTTGATCTAATAAGGTCATTAATTAAAAGAGCTACTGATATAGTAGAGAGAAAAGGGTGCTGGGTTTAAAGTCAAGAGGAACTAGCTCATCTCTTGACTTAGTATCTAAGACCTTAGTTAAATCGTTTTACTTGTCAATGCTTCCTTCTCTGTACAATGAGAAGGTTGGACCATATGATCGCCAAGTGTTTCAACCAAACCTAAATATATGCTTCCTTGAGGCAGCTAGGTAGCACCGTAAATAGAGCTGTATGACCCTGGGCAAGGCACTACCTGTTTTCCTCAGTTTCCTCACCTTTAAAAAGGAGGTAATAATAGCATCTACATTCAAAGGTTTCTGTGAGGACCAAATGAGATAATATTTGTAAAGTACTTAGTACAGTGCCTGGCACATAGTAGGTGCTATATAAATACTAGCTACTGTTCTTAGTGATTTGCTTCAGTCATGTCTGACTTTTCATGACCCTATTTGGGGTTTTCTTGGCAAACATACTGGAATGGTTTGTCATTTCCTTCTCTAGCTCATTCTGCAAAGGAGGAAAGTGGGGCAAACAGGTTTAAGCGACTTGTCCAGGATCACACAGCTACAGTGTCTGTGGCTGGATTTCAACCTAGAAAGATGAGTCTTCCTAACTCCAGGCCCGGGATTCTTATCCACTATGCCACCTACCTACCATTACATTCTAGACACACAGGAACATAAAATGGTGTTCAGACAATGTCAAAAAATAAATCCAACACAATAAATGCACCAAATGTGTTTTATGGTTCAATCAACAAATATTTACTACCATGTGCACTGTGCTAGAGAATGGGAATACAAATTAATCAAACAATCCTTATTTATTATTATTGTCAATAAGGAACTTGTTCACTACAGAGACTACTTTTCACCATCATAGAAGTACCCCCTCTCCCAGTCAGAACAAAGTGCAGAAATTCACATGCCTTCCCCAAAAAAGCAAGGGTCCTTAAGGTGCAGCATTCTGGAGATAGCAAATGGTAATCTAGAGGAACTGCTTCCCAGCCCTCACTTTGTTCCCTGGTAGAATGTACTGAGAGGACTCTAAAAGTGCCCACTCTAGTGGATCTCAATTCATCTGCTAAATTCTTGCCTTACAGAGTATTCCAGGAACATGTTTTATGTGTAGAGCAAGGAGTAGATACATTTCAATTATTGAGTGCTCATTCTGTAAAAGTCAGTTGAAGTTCAAGTCTTAGATCTGTTCTAGCCAATCTATCAGGGCTGAGCTTCTATAATCATGTACCATACACGAGTCAGTTCAACATATAAGTGAGTTTTCCTGGCTATAGAACTAAAGAAGCTTATAGTCTTATGAGAGATTCAAACATACACTCAGAAAAGTTATTTTTGAAGATGGAGAGAACACAAATGACTTGGGCAGGTAGGGGTGGAAGAATAAGGCAAAGAGATCAGACATGAGCTTTGAAAGAAGCTAGGGATTTTAAGAAATGATAATGAAAACATCTGGGGGGGCAAGGAGAGGAAGAGGTTAGAGACAGAGGAGATGGGAGATATTTGGATAGCAATTCAATCTTTCTTTAGTTCAAAGAAAGCATTATAACAATGGTGGAATGATGATTGTAAGGAAATCAAATTATATGGTTAAATGACAAAGTGGGCAAAAGGTATTAACACATAGAATAATTCATAAAAAGTAGATTGGCGTTAATTATGGAGGGTTTTAAGTAATAGACAGCAAGTTTATAATTTTAACATCATTTCAAAATAGGGAGCCAAAAAAGATTTTTTTTCATCAGGTGAACGACATCTGTCAGACCTGTGCCTTAGCAATAGTATTTTTTGAATTATGTTGAAAACAGACTAGAGAAAGGAGAAAATGGAAGCAGGGACAACCCAATAGGGGGCAATTGTAGAAATTGGGGACAGAGGTGATAAGGATCTAAATCAGGTAGTGGTTGTGAATGGAGAGAAGTGGAGAGGTTTGGGTTTTTTTGTTTTGTTTTTTTTTGCATGAGGTAATCGGGGTTAAGTGACTTGCCCAGGGTCACACAGCTAGTAAGCATTAAGTATCTGAGGCTGGTTTTGAACCTCCTGACTCCAAGGCCAGAGCTCTATCCACTGAACCACCTGGCTGCCCCTGGAGAGGTTTTGAAAGATGTTATGGAAGTAGAACCAACAAGACTTGATAACTGGAGGCTGGGAGGACAAAGGGAGCAGGGGAAGAGAGGGTTAAAGAGAGGGAAGGGTAATGGAAAAAAACACTGGATCCGGAGTCAGCAGACCTGGGTTTAAGCCAAAACTCATCATTCATGTAACTTTGTGAAAGTCACTTGGGGCTTCATCTGTGAAATCAAGGGTCTGGACAAAATAATCTGAGATTTTTTCCCACTTCTCAAATACAATGATCCAATAAAATATACTCCTAAGCACCAAAACTTTTAGAAACTATTTTTAAAATGAATTACATATTGTCTTGTCTTTTTGGACAGAGAATAACAAATTCAATTTCGCCTATAACTAATGTCAAGAAACTACAAAGATTTTGCTATCAAATGTTCTTAAAAATGTTTTCTTTAATTCCTATACATTTAACAACTTTATCTGTCAAAAGCTAAGAACAACCACTATAACTAGGTTAAGTAGACACTATGGTTTAAAAGAAAAAATAACATTTAACAAGGGTTCTGTTGTTATAGCATATAGCATCCACTTGAGGGAAGCAAACACCAGATTTCCAGTCTTACCTGCATAGGTGGCTCACTCCCTTGTCTGAATTCTTCAAGTTGGTGCTGTTGCCAGGGAGCTAAGGTGAAAGCCTCATCAATAGGCCTACAATCAGGAGGATTTGCATGTAATTGATCAGTAAGCCACATTTGAGTTCTAACAGAAGGCTGAATAGGAATTCCACCCACAGCCTGCTGGCCTAGCATTAGATATTTTTGTTCATAAGGCTCTGAACTTGTTATAGAAGACTTGCTTTCAGGTAAGGCACTGTATGTCTTGTCTAAGGCATGTCTCCTATGAGCAGGAGAGATTCCCAAGTCTTCTTTGCTACAGCTCTCAAACTTATATTTACAATCCAGAGTTGAAGACCGTATTTTATTTATTTCCTTGTCTTCGAGTTGAAGCATCTCCATACTATCATGTAAGCAGCTGGGACCATTTGCCCTTAGTTGTGCTATCAAAGCCCTGTCTCTCTCTGACTTATCTAAACTACTCCTGGATTCCTCAGATCGAACACTGCCATCCTGACTACAGTTATCTGGGAGGTTGAGTTTAGACAAAGATGACCATTTTCGTATAGGTCGTATGTCCTTCATGTCAAGTGAAGAGTCCAGCTCTCGATTTCGGTTTCCCATCGTCCGTATGAAACCTGTACTCCATTTGGACCCATCAGATGTCAGTGCTTCCCTGTGTTTGGAAACTGAAGAACTAGAATGAGACGGCATCACATGGGCAGTGGGAATTGTGACCAGTGAGCGGCTGGGCTTGAATGATGATGTACCACTTGAAGTAGAATGGTCTGAAAAAAGAAATTTATGATAAAATCAAAGATAAGAAGTCAAATTAAATCCCACTGGAAAAAAAATTAAATACTGTTCAAAGAAAGAAGTACAAATGGGTTGTTTTTCCTAACACAACTTCTTATTTATTTCCTGTGGGCAGGAGTGATTCTCCTTAAGTGAAGGGTTGAATTGTTTGTTATTTTTTTTAATTCCTTCTATAAAACTGAACTAAGTTAAAATTTCTATCAAATGCTATTCGCCAAATTCTACTATTGTACTATAAAGCCACGTGTGTGGCCCTGAGCACTTGAAGGCTGTATCAACAGAGGTCAAGTTCTAGAATAGCCTACCAAACAGAACAAGAGTGGAACTAGTAACAGATTTCCTAACATTCAGGGACTAGCCTTGATAAAACTCAGAGAAGCTGATCCTCAAAAGTCTGGCAATCAAGTAAAATTTTGTTTTAACCCATAATTATTCATGATGATCACTTATTAAGGCACATATAGATACCACTATGCTCAGTGGAGGCAATTACTCCAACGATATCTTAGATCTTTGAAGAATACTGTTCCATAGTTATACAACTGATGATCTAATACAATGCCATAAACCTAAGGCACCTCAAAAAGTATGTATCAACACTGATGGTACAGACATGCAAAACAAATAAAAATAAACATTTCTTGCCTTAGCTATTTTCCTAGCTCTTGTCCTCCTATTGGAATTATTTTTTTTAAAAAGCCAGATACATAAATATGGCCACCTTGAACTATAAAAAATGGGAGCATCAAGGAATACAAGGAGATTCTGTTCCTTTTTTGTTTTCTGTCAAGGGGGTACATAGTACATTCCCGTGATACTAATTACTTTCTAGCTCCATTGTCCCCTAAAAGGGGCTACTCTCATCCCTGTATTTAAAGAGTACCAATGTACTCCCATCTCCATTTTTTTAAAATAGATGAAAAGTATTTAGGTAATAACAAACATTTTCAAAGGAAATTTATCCTGCCAATCACCAAAATATTCTTCTCATAAAAAAAAAATCAGATTTCAGTACTGTGTGAGTGTTAATTGGATAAGACCCATATTTGCCATGAGAGAATCAACTCTAGGGTTTCCAAATTTCAAAGCTTTAAAAAGTAGAATTAAGCAATGTTACATACTTCCTGCAGGACTAAAAAGAGAGCTTCATAGACAATTAAGAAAATACACTTATACAAAAAATGAACTTCTAAACAATTATACAAATCAAATATCAATCACCTAAATTTACTACTACAAAATGTATTTTAATTATAAAGCTTCTTTTCTCATAAGTGTTCACTGTGTTTTGTATCACATACTCATTATAGTACCGTTAAGCTGGGCAAATATTAGTACAATTTTACAGATGTGAGAACTGATCGCCAGAAGTTACATGACATGCTTAAGAATCATAGAGAGCCCCTATCTTTTTAACCTTTACATTACTGTCCCTGACCATGAAACAAAATTACTTCTCACAGGATAGTATAGCTTGAGAGGCTCTCAAAAAGGGAGAGGGATGAGGAAAAGGAGAAAGGGAAAATGAAAACAAAGAAAGTCCTATACCTGAAGTCTTAAAACAGGCAAGTTTTCAGTTTTAAAAATATGAGTTGCTTCTTTAAAAACAATCAACAAAAGACCAAGATAGATGAAGAATTTTAAATTGAGGGATAATTCAGTATAAAAGGGAAAATTAAAATCACTATGAAAATACCTTCTCTTTGATTACAGCCAGCATTAAGTAACCTAACTGTACACTATTAATCTATAGAAATGTAGATCAGGAGTCTTCAAGGGCTCAAACAGATAACAAAATACACACAAGCACTGAAATGAGTGTACAAACTACATACAGGGCAGCCACAAGGAGATTTAAGGACATATAAGTCTATTCTTAAATGGAGTTCTAGCTAATTGTTCAGAGGGCTGCTTTTGTCCAGTTATTTGTACACATTAAAGAGGTGCATAACCTATTAACCTCTTTCAGACTCAATTATTCCTTGAATCACAGAATATCTGAGTTGAAAGTGATCAAGGGTTCTCCAACCAACATGACTAAGAATCCCCTGATAACATACCTTATAAAGGGGTCAGTTAGGTGGTACAGCGGATAGAGTACCAGCCCTGGAGTCAGAAGGACCTCAGTTCAAATCCAGCCTCAGACAGATGATACTTACTAGCTGTGTGAGCATGGGCAAGTCACTTAACCTTGACTGTCTCGCCAAAAATAAAAACAATAACATACCCTACAAGAATTCATCCAGCTTTTGCATAAACACCTTGTACAAGGAGGAACCTACTATCTCCTAAAAGCGATCCACATCATTTTTGGATCGCTCAAATTGTTAGGGCTTATGCTTTCTTATACCAAGTCTCAATTTGCCTTTTTGCAACTTCTATCCATTAATCCTAGTTCTGCCCTCTGATGCCAAGCAGAACAAGTTTAATTTCTTTTCTACCTGGAAGACTTTCAAATACATGAAGACACCTACGTATCACGTCCACACTATGTCTTCCTTCTTCAGATTCAACATTCCCAGTTTCTAAATAGATCCTCATGACATGACCATGTCATAATCCTTCCACTGAATGCTATCCAGATTCTTAATATCTTTCCTAAAATGTGATAGCCAGAACTTATCATGATACTCACTATGGAGCCTAACCAGTACATCAGTTGGTTGTATCCTTGTATTCACATCCATCTCTTAAATTTCCTTTTTTACTTCTCATCAGAAATATTTCTTTTTATGTTTCCAAATTTTCATTCTTGAGAGCTTCCCAGAACATCTGGGCTGACTTTCTCTATAAACATTTAGACCATAGCATCCTATTTATACTTTTCCTAAATCTTTTCATATCTGCTCTCCAAAAAGCCAGGGTATATTTCAGACTATGCCTGGGTTTCCTCTATCTTACAAATTTTAAGATGGCGAATGGTCACTTCCTCCTAATGTTCCTTCCCAGATTCACAAAATAAGTTTCAGAACAAGAGTTTCCCTTTACTGATAACTCTTATTTTTTAAAGAATGAAATTATTATTAAAGTAAGCTAAGAAATTCTTAGTTGCTCTGCCTTTGGAACAGAGTTCCAACAGATGTCTAAGCAATGGAAGTTACTACTATATAAATAATGTTTCTGTGCCAGGCTTGTGATATTACCCAAATTTCTGTCCAGGTGGTACATAGTTATCCCTTCCACATCATTTCAACATATGAAGGGTTGGTATAAGAAATTAAATGGCAATTTTGGGCAGTTTTGCAGAAGCCACGGAAGACACACGAAGGCCAGCAGATAACACAAAGCCTACAACCAAATACTTAACCCAAATTTTACAATAAGGTACTGTAAACAACCCAAAAAAGGAAAAAAAAATTCAGACTTCTTCTCTGGTATGAAAGGAGAGCCAAAAAATTTTACACAGATTTTTCCAGATCCCAGAGGTGCCCTGCCCCTGCCCCACCACACTCCAAAAGATGTGGAAGGGATAAGTGTAGCACATTCCCATCAAGCTACCACTTGCTCCTTTTTTTTTTTTCAAGCTACCACTTTCTGGCTCCATAACCTACTAACAAGAGCACACAATGCTACTCTCATCACTGTACTTTCTCTACATCTCTCTTGAATAAAGTACACTCTTCCAGAGTAATATTATGTTCTAAGCAAGGGTCACATTCCTAGTTTTAACGATGTCAAATGTTAAGATTTCTAACTCACCCTGTCTGTTACCCATACTTTGATCTTGTTCCACATCACACCCTCTAACTGAATACTTACAGTCCTGGCTTCTGTCCTGGGCCTCTTCTCTTCTCCCTCTATACTACTTCACTTGGTGATCTATCAGCTCCCATGGATTTAATTACCATCTCTATGCTGATGATTCTCAAATCTACTTATCCTGCCCCAAATTCTGCTTACCTTCAATCTCACATCTCCAACTGCCTTTCAAACATCTCAAACTGAATGTCCAAAAGACATCTTAAACTCAGTGTCAAAAAGAGAACTCATTATCTTTCCTTGCAAATCCTCTCCACCTCCTACTTCCCTATCATACCATGGAAAGCAACATACCATCCTCCCAGGCCCTCAGGCTCACAACCTAAGAGTAATCTTGGATTCCTCCCTATATCTCATCCCCCATATCCAATCTACTGCCAAAGCTTGATGTCCTCTTTTCAATGTCTCTTGAATATCCTCCCTTTTCTCCTCTGATACTGCCGCTACTCTAGTACAGGTCACCATCACCTCACATTTTGATTACAACAGCCTGTGGATAGGCTTGCCTGCCTCAACTCTTTCCTCACTCCAATCCATCCTCCATTCTGTCACTAAAAGTGATTTTCCTAAAACACAGGTCCAATCATATTACCCTCCTACTCAACAAACTCTTCCATGAGCACATACTAAAATGCTGTTTGACATTCAAAATCCTTCACAACCTAGCCCCTTTGACCTTTCTAGTATTCTTACATCTCACTTCCCTAAGGTACTCTTTGATAAAGTGACATTGGCCCCCTTGTTGTTCCACAAATAAGACACAGTCTATCTCTCCACTCCAGGGATTTTTTCTGGCTATCCCTAATGCCAAGAACTCTCTCCCTCCTTTGCTCAACCTTCTTGGCTTCCTTTAAGTCCCAACTAAAATTCCACCTTCCACAGAAAGCCTTCCTCAACCTCTCTTAGTTCTAGTGCCTTCCCTCTATTAATTATTTCATATTTATCCTGTACATATCTTGATTTGTATATATCTGTCTGCATGCTATCTCCCCCATTAGATAGTAAGCCCCATGGGGCTCAATGATTATCTTTTGGCTCTTTTTGTATCCTGACAGTAAGCATAATTCCTGATACTTAACAGACACAACATATTTTTATTGATTGATTGGTTGCATTTGAGTACATATATATAATCATAGATTTAGAGCTGGAAATGACCATTGAGACCACTGAGTCCAACTCCCTCAGTTTACACATTGAGACATACAGAGAT